CCCCCCCCCCCCCCCGCCTGCGGCAACCTTGAGAAGAGCACAAAAGCCTGATGCCTGGATCCCTCCTGGGGCCACTAGGAGGAAAGTATGTGCTCATACCGACATACACATGTGCCGGAGCTGAAGGCACACCCCCTTGAATTGCACACATAGGATCAGAGGCTTACAGAATGGGCTGGCACTCACACACAGGGCACACACAGGGACACACAGACTTGCCCAGACAACACACACACACAGGCATGCACAGACGCATGTGTCCAAGCCAAGAGGCACACCCTCCCCCTGCCAAAGAAATACACAGACAAGACCAAAGGTACGCAGATATCGCACAAAGGGACACCCAGAGATGAGCAAACCCACGACACGACACATGCACGCACAGAGGGATGAGCACTCGCCCACAGACACACGCTACAGAAACATCCAAACACCCACAGCGGGGCTCCTCCTATCCTTGAGGGGTGGCATGCTGCTAGGGAAGGGGAAAGAAAGCTGCACTTGGGTGGGTAGTCAGAGCCACAATCGCCTTGACCCCTACAAGTATCCCTAAGCCTCTGATCTGGGGATGCCCCCACCACCTGCCTCATATGTACCCCAAGTTTTGCATAATACCTCCTCAATCTGGGTCCTTTCGATACCTAGAGATCTCCCATCTCTAGCCCCCAAACAGCTATTTCACTTAGCCTTGAAGAACCCCACAAAAGTGTCTGGAACCCGCCAGCTCTGACACCCCACAATGGGAGGGATGTTCCTTGGCCTCTCATGGGTGTCTAAGGATATGGGGGGGCAGGTCTTCCTCTTTCTGCATTTGACTTAAGTCTTTTCTTCTGTTTTCCTACTTTTTCCTGCTTCCATTTTCTTCAACTCCCTTCCCACAGTTCCAATACCCATGTCTCCACCATCTCTGCATTCAAACTCTTCCTTCTCTCTTGCCCTACCCCCTCCTCCACAAGGAGCCTCCAAGGTCAACTGCAGGCCGGGGGAGATGCTGAGATGTTTCCTGTCCTTGCCCATTCCCCCCATGTTCTAATCTGACTGTTCCAAACCCAGTCTCTGTCTCCTGAGTAGATGCTGAGCTCAGCTGCTGGACAAGAAAACAGCATAGGACAGAGTCACAGCCACCTCCAGGGTCCCTGAAATCTGCAGTCATGCCTCTCACTTGTACCTCCTTTGGATCCTCTGCTTTTCCTTCTGGAAAATGGGACGGCAAAGAGGAAAGTGAGAGGGGCAACCATGGGCTGGTGCTGTTGGGGACCTGGATCCAGAAACAGGGCAGTGTACACTACACAGATGGGCATAGAAACCTGTCTGATGCTCTAAGGGGGATACTAGGGGCAGGCAGGGTGCTTCTCATTTGGGGTCTTGCTTCCTCCATCTGTGAAACAGGACATGTTTGGCCCACAGTACCTCAGGGACCTTTCCCAGATGTGAAAACCAAAATGGCAGATCAGCAGCCAGTTCTTGACTGTTGCACAACGTAGCAACTGCTGTGTGACCTTGGGGCTCACTTCCCCTCTCTGGGCTCTGGTTTTCTCCTCTGCCAAAGGAGGGAGGTCAGACAAGTGATTCATTGCTGAGGCTTTTAGCTGTGGTAGAAGTTTCCAGATTGTGGGGAAGGAAGGAGAACAGTGTCCCACTTATCCAGGGAGAACTACAGAAGCCCTTTCCTTCCACTGCAGGCATGTCAGAGCCTTCGGCACCAGCAGAGTCATTTTGAGGAAATCATCTTAAACATCAGAAAAAGCTCTCTGAACAAAACACATCCACTACATCACTCATCAAGAACATGCAGAACAGTGAACAAAAGGGGAATATTAAGTAAATTATGGTACATCCACTTGACTGGAAAAGCCTGGAGACATTAGCTGCCATGTTTATGAAGCACTGGTTACAAAACAGGAAAAGGCTGGCGTTGTCACCAGCAAAAAAAAAAAAAAAAAAAAAAAAAAAGCAGGATATACATCTCAATATAGGGAATGACAACAAAGCCTTTAAAAAAACCGACCAACCAGCAAGTGATACAGGCCTGGGAAGAACTCCATCAAAACGGTAGCATTGTTGGGGCTACAAAGACTGCCAATAACCTTTTTTTATTTGTTTTTCTCTATTTTTCAGATTTTCTGTTAACTCTACTTTAAAATGTACATATTGAAAAGGCTTTAAAACAATGACTAGCTGCCTCCAATTGAGAAACTTTCTTCTTTCGTTCATTGATTCATTGATTCATTCGTTCATTCATCTCTAATCCATTCACTCCTGCATTTGTCTGGGCAAAGAGGACAATTACATGTCTGCAGTGTGCCTGGCCCTGGGGGGCTTTTTGGGAACAATTTTCACTCAGAATAAATGGAAGTCATGGGCAGAGTCAGAGAAAGCAGCCCCACAACTAACTATACTGAGGAGTAAGTGGAAATGGGTCCTGCCAGGTCTGGCCCTGTCTCCAGGTGCCCTCACTCAGGCCACCCTCAACAGCTATGGTCTCACAGTTCAACCTGGGATCAGGAAGTCACACTTCAGGTGAGGCCTTCTGATGGGGGCAATGTTAGAGTAAGAAGCACCCCTTTCAGAGCCCTCCCACTCTGGATAAAGGGTAGAAGGGCTTCCCTTTTCCTCAACCCCAACCCACATGGCCTCTAGTTCCCAGTGGCCATGGCTGGTAATCTCTTTTCCGTCTGGGAAACAAAGCTATAGTTTGGCTGTGTGACCTTCTCTGAGCTCTGATTTCCACCTCCCCCAAGGTCCCTAACAAGTCACCACCCTGCCAAGTCTTGTCCTGCTGCAAAGGGGGTTTACAGGGTGTGAAATCTGCTCATCTGCTCACCCGTCAGCCAGGGTCATGCTGTTAGCATGTCAGAGGACCCAACACCATGTCCCTGCTGTGCGGGTGTGTGTGTCTCTGTGCGTGTGTGTGTGCGTGTGTGTGTGTGTGTGTGTGCATGCGCGCGCACCCGAGTGTGTGACAGATTTCTGGGGGAGGGTTAACTCTTTCTATTCCCGGACTCAGTGACAGAACAGTCTGGAAACAGTCCAGTCCCCTGCCTCCAAAGGTGCCTCTCTTCTTCCCCAGGAATCCTCTCTTTGGGTAGGGAGAAAAATAGCTTTTACCTGCCTGAGCTGCTATCTTAGGACTGGCTCCCACACCACAAAGATAAAGGGGAGGCACCTTCATGCCCCTGAGTTGCTTCCCTGGGAATCCAATTAAAGCTGATTTTCTTGGGCTCTCCAGCCCCCCTCCCACGGGGGCCAGTTAGCCCAACACCTCTTCTATACCCACCCCCACGTTGACACCCCAAAGGAGCAAAGGGATTGGGAGCTTTGAGTGCCAGGAAGGCTTTGATCCAGCAGAGCTCCTTTAGGACTGACTCCCACCCCCAAGACTGCGGTCCCCAGAAATTTTCTGGGCTAACCTTCCTTTCACATGGCCCCTGTGGAAAAAGAAGTTCCCACCACTCCTCTCCAGCTTTATCTGACCTCCCCCAGGGGCCAGGCAACCGGATCTCCGGGACACCGGAGCAGCAGCATCTGCTGTGGATCGCAGGAGACAAACACTTCGTCACACAAGCACATCACCCTCAGGATCACCTCTCTTAGCCCGCAGTGTACTGGAGGGGAGGAGGCTGAGGTGAGAAGGACCCTCAACATGCCCGAAGGCATCAGCCAATCGCCTCGATGAGGGGCTAGAATTCAGGACCCCTGGCCGCAATCCCTATCTTTTGCTTCTGCCACGCACCAGCCCCCACCCCAGCCCCCGGCGCCAAACCACG